TAAAATGGAACTTATTTTCCTTAGCTCTCTTTTTTCTATTACTTACATATGTATCTGTTTCTTAAAAGCTTATCCTTCCAAATCCATTGGTCACAACCTCTTTCTGACAGGGGAGGTGGTCTTATACAAGGACAGGGCTCCCCTTGAGTGAGTTCCAGGGGAAGCATTTCCAGGCAGCACCCTGCACGGAACAGATCTGACATGAGCTCAGTGCTCCCCGTTTATTTCTCTTTTGATTCACACAGACGAGAGAGAGAGAGAGAGAAAGAGAGAGAGAGAGAGAGGGAAAGCACCACCGGGGGAGGGGGGAGACCACGCTGCTCTCTCTTCTCTCAGAACTGGGGGTGCATGCACAACATGCTTGTTTTTCAAGACGCGAAGTCTGGGATTCACACTGTGCAGTTGGCCATGTGAGATTCAGCCACCTTAATCAACATGCCACCAGTTGGCCCTATAATTTCTTCGTATCAGCAAATCAAATATTGAAAACTAAAATGGAACTTATTTTCCTTAGCTCTCTTTTTTCTATTACTTACATATGTATCTGTTTCTTAAAAGCTTATCCTTCCAAATCCATTGGTCACAACCTCTTTCTGACAGGGGAGGTGGTCTTATACAAGGACAGGGCTCCCCTTGAGTGAGTTCCAGGGGAAGCATTTCCAGGCAGCACCCTGCACGGAACAGATCTGACATGAGCTCAGTGCTCCCCGTTTATTTCTCTTTTGATTCACACAGTGTTTACCGACCACCCACTGAGCCCCATGTATCATTTACTGAATGCTGCTGGATAATCCCTGAAGACAGAGAGAAAGTTAGGAAAACAATCGCTGTCACAGAGGGGTGAGAGCATCTTGCAGTTGTCTGTAGAAACAGAGGCACCAGAAGGCACCAGGACAGGAGTTCCGGGCTCTCCAGTGCCTGTTACTGGTTGATGGTTCTTCCCAGACCTGCGATGACTCTGTCTCCACCCTGCCTCTGTACACTGGTGTCCAGCTCCCTGCTGAGGGCCTGGCGAGCTGTCGAGGCTTTGGAGTGAAGCCAGCATGTGCCTGGGCCACCTGGCTGGCAGTGACAATGTACTGGGTCGTTAGAAAAGTCATGATGCATTTTTGCATAGAAAAACAGAAAAATACGTCAGGAATTTCCCGACAACCTAATATTTTGCCTGCTGGCCAGTGTGGTGAGGGGGGCTGAGGAGGCCAGGCAGAGCTGGTCCTGGCAGCATCCGGTGTGGCTGCAGGGAAGGCTATACACGATATGCATGTGAGTGGCAGGGACTGGACAGAGCCAGGGCCACCTCCTGGGCTTTCCATGGGGCTCGCTCTTTTTGTAGCCATGGGTTTGAGGTGCAGCTTCAGATTGGGTCCTGTTGCAGGTGTTAACATGGATGCTCTTGGGACCAGCAGTTAGTGTAATGGCTATGTCGCTGGACTCCCATGTAGTCGACCGTGGTTTGCGTCCCAGACCCGGTGTGCATGCGTGCCCAGGATCCTGAGAGGAGAAGGAATTGCGGCGTGGCCATCCCCCCGGGGGGTGATTTCTCACTTTCTGTCTCTCTGTCTGTCTGGCGAGCGCACGCGCCCTATAGCAAAAACTTCTTTAAAAAAAAAAACTCTTGTCCTTGTGGAAAGGTTGGGTGTCGAGAAGGGAAGCGATTGCCTTTCGCAGGAGGCCAAGTAAGGGGTTCCCAGCACCTATTCCCCCCGAACTGACTTTCTCTAGAAGCAGCACAGTGAAACATGGGGGTTGACATACTTTTTTTTTTTCTTTTTGTAGAGAAAGATATTTGCTACAGGGTGCATGTGCTCACCAGAGAGATAGAGAGACAGAAAGCAAGAAATCACCCCGCAGGGGGATGGTCATTCCACAATTCCTTGTCCTCCAGTCTCCTCTCGGGATTTGGGGCATGCACACACACATGCCTGGCATGAGTTTTAAGTCGCTGGGTCCAGGACTTGAACTACAGTTGACTGTGTGAAAATCCAGCGACCTAACCATTACGCCATCTGCTGGTCCCGAGGATAACATTTTAAGTCGTTTTTAAAAATCCTTTCAAATTAAGTTCATCTCACCTGCCAGGTGACATACCTACCGAGTGCACTGCCCACCCCTTTATCCCAGGACTGTGTCTGACAGGCAAGGCCAGCTCCCTCCCCACCCTGTGTTTTTTAGTCACGCCTCCAGCTGGGTTCAGGGGGTTTTGTACAGAACAGACTAGATGAACCTATACATTGGGTGAGCACACGCACCAGCAACCACTCTCCCCTCTGAATTTGTAGCCAATCAGGTCGGCTTCAGCAATCCATCACCCACAGGCTTGTCATGTCTTCGATGCTATTAGCTCCGTTTGCGGCCTTGCAGTCTCATTGAACTATGCAACGCGGTTTGGCTTCTGAACATGGTTTAACTATTCACTTTCAACATGATTTAACTCTTTGTCATGTCTTCATCAATGGACTAGAATCAGCAAGGAGGAGCATCCTGGTGTCATAATTCCTTTAATGGAGCAGGTTAAGAAACCGCATTGCTGTTCTCTTGACGAAGTTGAGAAACAGAGACACAAAAAGCAACGTAACCATTACATCATCTGCTGGTCCCTCAAATATAAGGTGTTTTTCTAAGTGAAATCTCTGAGGTAGGCCCTGGAAGCCCCTCTGGGTGGAGGCACCTAGATTATGAGGAAAGACCTTCTCACTCGCTGTATTTCAGAATGCAGATTCCCTGCTGTGTAGACCAGCCAGCACAGCACTGCAGTCTTAGGGGTAGGGATCCCCAAAAGGGCAAGGGAAGGGGACCCGCTGCTGGCTGTCAGAAGCTAGGCCCCTGCGTGGTGGGCAAGTCCCCGTGACACCTGGCTGGAGACTCCCTTACATGAGCAGGTAAAAACCCGGGCATCTCTGGTGGGGCCAGGAAAACGAGTCAAGCTGACTCCCAGGAGATGTCTGGGAGATGGGGCAACAGCTACAGGCGCTGCCTGGACCTAGTGCCAGATGTGGCACTGTGAGGGCCTTGGAGCACAACTGCAGTGCTGTGCACAGGGGCATGAACAAGGGCCACTAGCTGCAGAGGGGATTCGGGGCAGAGTTACGGAAGAGGAGGAGAGTCCCTGCATATAGAGCAGTGCCAGAGTGAATGCCGAACCCCGAGAGAATAGACTCTGGGGGTGGAAAGCGGCCTGTGAGCCCTATGATATCTGGATTTTTGCAATAAGGACACCAAGACAAAGAGCTGAGGTGACTTGCCCCAAGTGAATTAGAGGCAGACCTGAGAATCATGCGTATTTCACACACTTATTCAGGAGCGTCTGTGGAGTAGCTGGTGCGGATCAGGTGCACTCTGGGCCCTACATCCAGACTCCCGACACCTACTCCGACTCTTGTTCTTTCTATTCTGAGGCCTTCTACCAGGATCCCCACCGGTAGGGCATGTCAGCCCTCGGACAAACAAGGCTGGGCCCACGGATCCCGAGATACGAAGCCGAGCTCCGTCTCAGATCTGACAGAAGACGCACCTGGAAAGGGTGGCCGAGCCAGTTCCTCCGGTTAAGTTGCCACAGACGGCACAGCTCAGCGCCTCCCGCTCATGACTCTGCTGCGTTGCCCTTTACCCAAGATAGTTACCCAGAACGCAGACTTTTAAAAATGGAAATGCTGTCTGTCCCTCTGACGACATTGATTTGAGGGAGAGCTGGAGCATGGAGACAGGCCAGGTTGGGGGAGGCGGGCGTGTGGGGAGAGGCGTCACTGTGAAAAGAAGGTGGCACCAGGAAAACGAGGGACTCGCCAGACGCAGGCCTTGTACCAGCTGGAGCTAGGGCAGCCTAGACGTGGCTCTGTGTGCTAGAGGACAGTGCCTGTCCCGCCAGGCGTGGGGTGAACTCCTGGGCCTTTTTGCTCAAGATGTTCCTCCTTTCAGAGGGTTCTGCGTTCCCCAGGAAGAACAGGAAACTGAAGGACTCGGGTTTACAACCACTGGCCTGGGAATTCTCACCCATCTCATGACAGCGACAGTGACAGCTGATGCGCACCGAGGGCTTGGCAGTTTTCCTGACCAGTAGCTCTGAGCGTATAGAAGCTGTCATTCTTCCTGTTTCGCAGGTGAAGCAACCGAGTTTTGGGAGGTGAATGGGCTTGCTGAGCTAAGCCATAGGAGGCCGGGTCTGGGACGGCCCTAGTCTCCTAACCCCAAGTTGGTCTTCTTCCCCCCCATCCTGTGCTGCTTTGCATGGGGGTGGGAAAGGAATCCAGGTAGAAATCTGACGTTTTGCCTGGCTCCTGGGTTGCAGTTCAGTTGAGAAGGGGCCGGGTGGGCCGTTCTGGGGTGATTGTATTTCCTTGGGTCAGTGAATTCATTTGGGAGCTCAGGAGGCGTGGAGATTGTCTGGGTTGTGTTCCTAGTCTTCACTGGCTCACGTTTTCTCTCTTTTGAGGAATATCCACCATGATGACAGTATGGTGCTCAGTACGGGGAAATTGACAGAGAATTGAGAAACGAACTGGTGTTAAAACTTCACTAGGTAGGGCCGTCAGATGGCGTAATGGTTACATCACTGGATTCCCACATGTTGGACTCTCACATAGTGGACCACAGTTCAAGTCCCAGACCCAGTGGCTTAAAACTCATGTCAGGAATGTGTGCGTGCATGTCCAAAATTCTGAGAGAAGGATGGAGGAGAAGGATTGCAGCATGGCCATCCGCCCTGGAGGGGTGATTTCTCACTTTCTGTCTCTCTGTCTCTTCTTGTCTCTTTGGCAAGCAAAAATCTCTCTTAAAAAACAAATAAACAAAACTTCATAAGGTGTTCTCGTGGCCTCCAATCTCAGTGAGTTCCAGTGAGTCTGGATCACTCTGTCACTGCCAGGATGCAGGATAGCCCCAGTGCCGTCGGGCTTATTAAAGCAACGTGGTGAGATGGGGATGGGCCTGTCGCGCATCTTCCAGGGTCTCTGTTGTCCGGGAAGCATGATCATGCAAGTGACTGTGTCTGGTCATCACTTTAGGGCTGCCAACTTCAGGAACTTCACCTTCATCCAGCTGAGCGGAGAATTTTCTCGAGGAAAGGGACTCGATGTCGGAGCCCGCTACTGGAAAGGAAGCAACGTTCTCCTTTTCTTCTGTGACGTTGACATCCACTTCACCTCGGAATTCCTGAATACATGCAGGCTGAACACGCAGCCAGGTACGGCTCGGCTCCCTCGCACCCTCAGGCGCCACAGCTCTGTCAGGCTCCAAATCATTCTCGCGATGGTTCAGCTGAGGTCCTGCTTCCCAGTCAGCCCATTTTACCCCGGTGGCAAAGGAAAGGAAGGTGACCCGGCCTGCTCTTTCCTCTGATGCTGTATTGTGAGCTCATCTGGCACCATAGTTCTGAGACTCGGTCCCAGGGCTTGTTCATTATCTCTTTTTGGGACCAGCAGTTAGCGTAATGGCTATGTCTCTGAACTCCCATGTAGTTGACCGCGGTTTGAGTGCCAGACGCAGTGACTTAAACTCACTCCAGGCACGTCATGGCCATCCCCCCTGGGGGGGGGGTGGTTTCTGGCTTTCTATCTCTCTATCTCTCCCTGTCTTTCTGGTAAGTACACGCGGCCTATAGCAAAAACTTCTAAAAAAAGAAAACCATTATGTCTTTTCCATGTTACCTGGGCATGCAGCTAGAGTGGACATCTAAGGAGAGAGTGTGGTGGCCCTGGAAAGGCAAACTGTGGACAGTGAGCCAGGAGAAAGGGCCACAAGCAGAAAGAACCCAAATACAAATTATTTTCATGGACTCGACTCATTGGCAGGGCTGGTGTTCAGCTGGTAATTACTGGTATGGCCTGGCCATATAGAAATTCCTCTGTGGAGATTAGTAAAAAAAAAAAGAGCCTCTCCAGTCTCAGTCTACTCCTGTGGCCCAAAGTCACCTTGGCCCCTCAGCAATCCTTGATACCCCTTAACTCAAGCCAATGATTAGGGGTTAATGCTTGCAAAGGCAGGAGGGGACACAGCAGGACTCTTTCACATTCTTGGCCACCATGGAGGCCCAGAGCCAAAGCCACCGATGTCAGTATTTTGAACACTATTCCTGTGCTAAGAAGCCAGAAGTATTTGGGTATATGACCATCTGGTCTACCTGGTACTGCACTTTTTAAAAAAAATTTGTCTTTTTCATGAGAAAAGAGACAGGTACCCTCAACAGGGCCTCCTCCCAAACCCCCAGCCTTCCCACACAGCCAGGAGCACAGGCGCACACGCACCAAGTTCAGGTCAACCTGGCAGAAGCCAGCGCCTTGAGCTTCCTTACAGCCTCTAGCACCCCAGAGTATTGCCCTTCTGCACGGCCTCCATGGCTGGACCCTGGGGCCACACAGTAAGGGCTATTTCAGGATTAAGGGGAAAAGGAAGAGCAGATGCAGACATCAGGGCTGTTTCAGGGAGCCCAGTGCAAGCCAATGTCATAGTTGTGTCTGTCTCTGAGAAAATGCTTGTCTTCTGGCTTGCAGGGAAGAAGGTGTTTTACCCCGTTCTTTTCAGTCAGTATAATCCTGGCATAATCTACGGGCATCACGACACAGTCCCCCCCTTGGAGCAGCAGCTGGTGAGTAATTACCCCGCAGATGCCTCTGTGTGGCTCTGTGTCATGTCTTCCATTACCAGAGCCGCTTGGCCGCGAGGAAAGGTGAGTAGAAATCTGTGGACTGATTCCCCGAGCAGCTTTTAAGCTTGGCCAGACGTGCTGGCCTTTGCTTCTAGCACCTTGGTGATGAAGAGTGCTTGTAACATTTAAGAGTGGAAAATACGTAGGAACAGTCCGTTATGCAAAGGTAGTTTCACGGCTGTATAGTTTCCCTCTCTGATTTTTGGAAACTAGCATTATTGCATCATGGATACAGCACATTTGTTTCTTTATTAGTACAAAATCCGAAACAATATAAAAGGTGAGGTTTTTCCCTATTTGTCAGAGGGAAAGCTGGAGCCTGAAGGGTGGCTCACCAGGCATACCATGAAGCAGTGAGGGACGAGGCCAGCCCAGCCCCTGGATCCCAGCACTTAGGGCCCTGCCCATCCTGCCTCGTCCCCACACCACGGAGCCTCGGTGGGCACTGGCAGCAGAGGTGTGACTGGCAGGGTGGCTTTGAGGGCATTGGAGGGACTTTCGTGCTAAGATCTTGGCTGCAGAGGTTGGGGGCGAGTGGACCCACGTGGTCCCCAGCGCTGTGAGGGCCAAGATGTCTCTGTTGTCACAGGGAGTTCGTCCCTCCTACAGAGAGCAGTGTGGGCTATGGGAGAGGGGCGGGCTGTGTGTGGGCACATCTTTCCAGAACTTGGTCCCTGTTCATCTACCAGTGATGTCACAGAGAGAGGAAGTGACCTCTGTGCCCAAGCCGGGCTGTGATCTCCTCAGTCATGATGGCTGTCCGAGCTGTTCCGGCTCCAGCGGAATCTCTGGGGCGTGTTCCCTCTGCGGGCCGCCTGCTCCTCGTTGTTCTGGGTAGCTCTGCCCCAGGGAGTCAGAGCCATGCTCCTGTCCACTGAGCACCCCGTAGGGTGGAGGGTGGACACCTGACAGGCCACGTCTCCTGAGCTGCCAGGCAATGGGAGAGAAAACCGACTTCCATGGAAACACGTGTCCTGTGAAATGATCTGACTCGTGTTTAAGTGTCCAGAAGTGGCAAAGCCCATTCTCCCAGCCCTGTCCCATGGCCTTCGCCCTCCCTGCCCCACTGAGCTTCTGGCAGCTGTAGAACCTTCTTCTCAGAAAGTTGCAGCTTCAGGTGCCGCCCGGTTTGGGCCAGGTCCTTTCTCACTCCTGTCCTAGCGCGCTGTCACCTGGGGGCCAGCGCAGGTGGTGCCACTGCAGTTCCCTCCCTCTTGAAAGCTTATGCCCCAGGTGTGCGCCCCCTGGTGGGCCGCGTGTGTGTCTGTGCTCTAGGTGTGCGCCCGCTGGTGGGCTGGGTGTGTATCTGTGCTCTCTGCAGAAAACAGTGAGTTCTCTTTTTCCCAGGAACCAGTTTCCACTACTCGTGAGTGACATCACCCCCACTGGACAGATCCTTCCTGTTTCCTTTCTGTACGCATTCTAACTTCTCAGAGGGCTCGAGGGGGAACCAGCATACAGGATTTATTTCCTTTCGACCAATCAGAACAAAAGTTCCTTTGCTTTTAATAAAGTACTGATCTGACATTGGAAGTGATTAGTCTTTCCACCTCAGACTCATAAAGACCTTACTGACTTCGCTATCTGAAGGTTTTACCTTTATCATTCTTGCAGAGAAGCAGGAGCAAAGGAAAGCTTGAGGCCCGGCATGGTTAGGCAAGATTCCGGACCCTCAGAGTAGGTGGTCAGAGCAGAAACCACCACGACCCTCTGTGTCCACTGTATCCACCGCTAGGGACTCCAGGTTATCTGCAACCTGCAACATTTACTTCCGAACACACCTTAGACCTCCCCTGGAGCACCTAGGTCTGACCTTTTGTGCGTGTTTTGTCAGTGAAATAGCAGTTCTCTCTGAGATGGAGAAATTCCCAGTACCCTCCCCTGAAAAGTTTGATTGCGTTCTGGCCGGGTGAGAGGCAATCCTGGAGCACCCACGGGGGAGGAGCTGGGAGGACCGAAATGTTTCACACACGGGCCCAACCTGGGAGAGCACTTGACTCACTCTCTCTCTTTACGGAGGTGGGGTGACTTCTTCCCAAGAATGCAGACAGCGAGAGGGAGCTCAGGCCCGGCTAGGATCTCCTCCCTGGAGAACTGTGGAAAGAGGTTGCTGAGGGTGTAGGTGAGAGCTGACGTACAAGGAAATGGCCTACAAAAATCGCGACGGGGACCATCAACCTGCACAGATTGATAGAGAATAGAATGCGTCGCGGTGAGAAAGTCTAAGAAGTAGTGACTGGAGATGGGTAAGCTAGGAAGGGGTTCCCACGGAGGGTGCTTTCAGCTGGATCTTACAGGACAGACAGGCAGCTTCCAGGTTATCTGTGCTATGTATGCACACGCACCCGTGTGTGTGGTTAAATCCTCCATAGCTTTCCCTTCGATACATCCGTAGCAGAGGTGAAAGGAGAACCCAGATCCCAGTGCAGCCGTAATAAAAGCTACTTCCTCGTGCAAACAGCAGCAGCCTCTTACAGCAGCCCCCGCCCCCCCCTGACCCCCGCAAGCTCTCATCTCATCAGTGGCTGAGCCCGTTACTTCTGGCAGCTACTGCCTCTGCCAATTGGTAATACTTCGCTGCAGACTAAAGCCAAATTTATGACTTTCTATATGGTTTCAGACTCCTTGGTTTTTTACCTGTAAGTACCGACCATTAGTAATAAGTAATAAGTGAAATCAGGGGATTTTATACCATTATTAAATTTTGTGCTATAAACCACAAGATAAAATTTGCTGGTGCTTCACTGTAGATGCAGCTCTCTGGGAAAGGAATGACTATAATTTAAATAAATATTAACTTTCAACACTCCACTTCCCTGGTTCAAGCTCTGTTCATTTTTGCTTAGAACACTGTAGGAACCTCCTTTCAGTTCTGTCTTCAGGTTTCCTCCCTTCCCTACATTCCAGGCTTCCCTTCACCCTCTGCCAGAGATATGTTTAAAACACAGATTAATCTCTCTCTCTCTTTTTTTTTTTGAGAGGTTTTTGCTATAGGGCACGTGCGCTCACCAGAAAGACAGAGAGAGACAGAGAGACAGAAAGCGAGAAATCACCCCCCAGGTGATGGCCACGCCGCAATCTCTTCTCTTCCTTTCTCCTTTCCTCTTGGGCATGCATGCACACGCGCCCGGCGTGAGTTTAAGCCACCAGGTTCAGGACTCGAACCGTGGTCGACTTCATGGGAGTCCAACAACATAGCCATTACACCAGCTGCTGGTCCCAATCCCACTATTTAAAAAAATATATTTTTGTGGCATAAAGCCAGTAAACATTTAATAACCCATTCCTTAAAAGGGGGCAGAGAGAGCCCTGGTTTGTAGTGTTTGCCAATTTCTGTGGTGTCAGTACTCCCACTGTAGGTAGCTCTTTCAGCCACCAGCGTGTTGCCACTGAGCAGAGCCAGGAACGTGTCTGCTCAGTCCCTGTGAGCTGGCACAAGCTGCTCCAGTCCCAAGGCCCCAGGTCCTCATGAATTGCCCTCCACAGACCAGCTCTTGCAGCCGCCTTAGAACACATCTGTAAACCTGGCAGCTGGCACATGACTGGCACCTGCTCAGTGTAGCGCCAAGCTGGACTTGCCGTCAGGTGAGCGCACCTGCTCCGGGTCCCCTCTGGGCCGGCGTTCTGCCTCAGAGCCACCTCCTGACCATCCGGAGCCCACAGCGTCTAACGCAGACTCCGATGGCTTCGTGCCCCTCCATCAGTGCGTGCACTGTGTCTGGCTCCTGCCACACCCTCACTGATTACACCCTAACTCTCTGCCCCCATTCAGAAAGGATTTCACCAGTGACCTGCATTCAGCGCCACTTCTGTGTGTGGCCGACTGAGCCTTCTGTCCCCTGCAGCCTGCTCCCATTGGAAGCGAGGGCTCACTGGGTATGGAAAATGGCATTAATAGGTGCCCCTTGGCCTCTCCCTGAGCCGCGCCGCTCGCATTGGTGAGAGAACACTCAGCAAGGCGAGTCGGAGGGCTGCTCTCATCACAGGAGAGGCTCTGGGGTCCAGAGTGCGGGGCTTGCTCGGGAGCTCACGGGCCACCCCTTGTGGCTGAGCCCGGGCTGAGGATGCCGGTAGCAGGGCCCCCATCCTTTCTCCTCGCAGGGCCTCGGGGAGGAACAGGCTCTGGTGTTAGCTGAGAAGTGCCTGGCAGTTAAAGAACCTGGGTGATCCCGTCCTATACCCTTAGAAAATACGGTAACTTTTTTAAAAAAGATTATTTCTTCCAGGAGAAAGACAAGGTGGGTCACAAAAGCCCTAAGAAGTGACCTCCGTCGTGCCCTGAAAGTACATGCTGTGGGCACGACCACATCACATTCTGAAAGAGCTACATCCCGTGAGCTCTTCAGACAGTGACTTCCTGCGGCAGCCAGCTCTAGAGCCAAGTTTAGTAAGTGTTCCCTAGGTCACTCCTCCGGCCACACATCAGCTTGTCTCTACCGTGGCCAGGTGAGGGTCCCTCTACCTGGTTCAGCCTCCTCTGGCCCCACGTCCATGTTCAGCCTCCTCTGGCCTCGGCCCTGAACCTGGGCATGGCTGCTCACACTCTCCCTGCCTTTCTCTCAGGCCCTGGCCAGCTGACTTTCCTGCCTGGAGCTCTCTCTCGAAAATTCCACGTACACTTCGGCCAAGCATTTGTAGTGTGGGTACTGGCATTTCTCTTCGACTCTATTTTTGTCTAGAAAGTTAGAGGACTGTCTGTGTCCTGGCCAGGAGAAAGGATATTAAGCCTGGCCTGCGACAGAATCAGTAACCCCCGTACCACAGCGATGGGACAAAATGCTTTTGTTGTTGTTGCTGTTTAAAGCTTATTTCTTCCATGAGAGAGAGAAAGAAGAGAGAGAGAGAGAGAGACAGGCACCCCCCCACACACACATGGTCTTCACACCACGATCCACCCCCAGCTTCAGCCAGCCGGGATCACGGGCACCCCCTTGGGCACCCAGTGTGCAGAGAGACCTCTCAGGACTCAAACTCAGGACCTTCCCACTTGGTCTCAACATCACAGAGTGTTGTGCTACTGCTGTGCCAGTGTGGCTGGCCATAAAGTAAATTTTTTAAAAATTGACTCCGCGGAGATTTTTCCAGATTTTCCTGTCGTGCAAATCTTTCTGCCAGTATTAGTGAAGCCTCGCCATTTGGGCCTGTCTGCACAGAGCCGCGAACCGTTTGCGCTGAGTCTAACTGGATTGCGTCATGGGGGACAGTTCTGCCCGGCAGAGCCTCTCTTGGTCCTTACTGCCCTCAGGCAGCCCTGGGGTGATCAGGTGATACCCATGTGATGCTGCAGCAGTGTGAGTGACACCTACCTGTAGGTGCACTGAAAATGAGATGATTTCACGTGAGAGAGCAAAAGGATTTTTTGTTTGTTTCATGACAGAGAGGGAGAGGAGACAGAGAGACCTCTGGCAGGACCTTGTCCTGGAGTGAACCACCTCAGCCCTGTTGTCAGCCAGATTACGGGCACCTGTAGGTGCACCTGGCTTGTAGGGTTGACCTGGGGTCCAAACCCTGGGCCTCCCATGCAGCTCCAGTATTGTGCACACTATGGCCGGGGCCATAAGGGTGGGGCCGAGCTGTCAGTATTATTCTTTGTTTATTCCTATGTGAGAAAGAGAGGGGGAAGACATTGAGACAGAGACAGGACTATTTAACAGGTCTCACACTGTTGCGATTCTCCTGCCCGGTCTGCAGCCACACCTGGCGTGGTCAGGTTGGCCCGAGAACCAAACCCGGCCTCTCGTGTGGCTTCCAGCTTCTTAAGTCATGGTGCTAACTGCACCACCATGGCTGGGCCTCAAGTGAATGAATTTATTTTTTTTTTAATTTTTTTGCCCTAGGGTGCATGTACTCACCAGAGAGAAGCAGGGAGAGACAGAGAGAGAGAAAGTGAGAAATCACCCCTCCAAGGGGGATGCTGCAGTCCTTTCTCCTGAGACTTTGGGCATGCCTGCACACACACAAGCACCCTGCATGATTTCCAAGCAATTGGGTCTAGGATTTGAACTGTGGTGAACCATGCGGGGCTCCAGGGTCTTTACTACCACACCACCCGCTAACCCCAAAGTAAAGGAATTTTTAAGATCCATCAATCCGGCGGGCCAAATGAATTTGTCAAATAGAACAGCCCGTGGTACATTCAAGAAGATGGAATAGCAGTGTTTGGACGAAGGAGCGGGAAGAGACCTTAGTGTGATTTAGCTCAGTCCTTCATTTACCTCCGTGAGCTCTTCAGACAGTGACTTCCTGCGGCAGCCAGCTCTAGAGCCAAGTTTAGTAAGTGTTCCCTAGGTCACTCCTCCGGCCACACCTCAGCTTGTCTCTACCGTGGCCAGGTGAGGGTCCCTCTACCTGGTTCCGCCTCCTCTGGCCCCACGTCCATGTGAACCTGGGCATGGCTGCTCACACTCTCCCTGCCTTTCTCTCAGGCCCTGGCCAGCTGACTTTCCTGCCTGGAGCTCTCTCTCGAAAATTCCACGTACACTTCGGCCAAGCATTTGTAGTGTGGGTACTGGCATTTCTCTTCGACTCTATTTTTGTCTAGAAAGTTAGAGGACTGTCTGTGTCCTGGCCAGGAGAAAGGATATTAAGCCTGGCCTGCGACAGAATCAGTAACCCCCGTACCACAGCGATGGGACAAAATGCTTTTGTTGTTGTTGCTGTTTAAAGCTTATTTCTTCCATGAGAGAGAGAAAGAAGAGAGAGAGAGAGAGAGACAGGCACCCCCCCACACACACATGGTCTTCACACCACGATCCACCCCCAGCTTCAGCCAGCCGGGATCACGGGCACCCCCTTGGGCACCCAGTGTGCAGAGAGACCTCTCAGGACTCAAACTCAGGACCTTCCCACTTGGTCTCAACATCACAGAGTGTTGTGCTACTGCTGTGCCAGTGTGGCTGGCCATAAAGTAAATTTTTTAAAAATTGACTCCGCGGAGATTTTTCCAGATTTTCCTGTCGTGCAAATCTTTCTGCCAGTATTAGTGAAGCCTCGCCATTTGGGCCTGTCTGCACAGAGCCGCGAACCGTTTGCGCTGAGTCTAACTGGATTGCGTCATGGGGGACAGTTCTGCCCGGCAGAGCCTCTCTTGGTCCTTACTGCCCTCAGGCAGCCCTGGGGTGATCAGGTGATACCCATGTGATGCTGCAGCAGTGTGAGTGACACCTACCTGTAGGTGCACTGAAAATGAGATGATTTCACGTGAGAGAGCAAAAGGATTTTTTGTTTGTTTCATGACAGAGAGGGAGAGGAGACAGAGAGACCTCTGGCAGGACCTTGTCCTGGAGTGTACCACCTCAGCCCTGTCGTCAGCCAGATTACGGGCACCTGTAGGTGCACCTGGTTTGTAGGGTTGACCTGGGGTCCAAACCCTGGGCCTCCCGTGCAGCTCCAGTATTGTGCACACTATGGCCGGGGCCATAAGGGTGGGGCCGAGCTGTCAGTATTATTCTTTGTTTATTCCTATGTGAGAAAGAGAGGGGGAAGACATTGAGACAGAGACAGGACTATTTAACAGGTCTCACACTGTTGCGATTCTCCTGCCCGGTCTGCAGCCACACCTGGCGTGGTCAGGTTGGCCCGAGAACCAAACCCGGCCTCTCGTGTGGCTTCCAGCTTCTTAAGTCATGGTGCTAACTGCACCACCATGGCTGGGCCTCAAGTGAATGAATTTATTTTTTAAAATTTTTTGCCCTAGGGTGCATGTATTCACCAGATTTTAATTTTTTTGCCCTAGGGTGCATGTACTCACCAGAGAGAAGCAGGGAGAGACAGAGAGAGAGAAAGTGAGAAATCACCCCTCCAAGGGGGATGCTGCAGTCCTTTCTCCTGAGACTTTGGGCATGCCTGCACACACACAAGCACCCTGCATGATTTCCAAGCAATTGGGTCTAGGATTTGAACTGCGGTGAACCATGCGGGGCTCCAGGGTCTTTACTACCACACCACCCGCTAACCCCAAAGTAAAGGAATTTTTAAGATCCATCAATCCGGCGGGCCAAATGAATTTGTCAAATAGAACAGCCCGTGGTACATTCAAGAAGATGGAATAGCAGTGTTTGGACGAAGGAGCGGGAAGAGACCTTAGTGTGATTTAGCTCAGTCCTTCATTTACCTGCAAAGAGAATAGAGGCTAGAAGATTTGGAGGACCTGCCTGAGGTGACAAAGCCAGCCTGTGGTTAAGCTGGGACAAGCCTCACGTACTGCTTCCAATTAGTGCGAACAGAGCCAGGCGTCCCGAATGGACAATGCGGGGATTCTGGGCTGGGCTGGTGGGAACCCGCACAGGTGTCCCCCGGCCCTTCCTGGGGAGGGGCTTCCTTCTCTCAGCTCCTGTGTTAGCTCCAAGAGCAAACTGGGAAAAATAACTATTAAGATCGCAAAACCATTCCCAGAATTACCGTAGCCAAAAAATAGAAATATCTTTCTTTCTCTCTCTCTCTCTCTCTTTCTTTCTTTTTTTAAGTCTTGCTGCATCAGCAGATCTTTTGGAAATTTACTTGCAAAGTGAGACGGCAGGGCCAGGTCTCACTGCTCAGGCGGTCGCTGGTTGGATGGCCTCTCGGCAGCCCCGCAGGCTGGCAGCTCTGAAGCGCCTTGGAGCAGTTTGGTTTTAAAATAGTGTGAGCAGCACAGCCAGGGTCTGTCTTCAGAGCGTGGACTTGCCGTGCCCTTTCCCAGCAAGAACGAGGCAGCAGAGCCAAAGGGCCAGGCCTGGATGGCAGCCTCTCAGGGCGTTCTATTTGTTCCCCGGAGGGAGTCCTGTTTGCGAGCCGTGCCAGGGCAGCTGAATCCCGCGTTGTTCTCCTGCCCTCCTCCCTGTCCTGAGCCCTGGCTGGCCTCCTGCCTGGGCTGTGCGAGAGCCCTCGCCTCCACTCCTGGCTGGCGCTGGTACTGGCCAGACACGTAGGTGACTTCTCAGTGTGGCTCAGAAACCTGCTCCCCCAGTTCGCTTTCGACTGTGTGTGTGTTCATGCCTACACCTAGAAACATTCCATCCAGGGGTGCCAAAAATCACAAGGCCCTGCCGCGGGCTGGAGAGTCCACTGTGCTCCACAGCGAGGACACAGGCCTACTCTACCCCCCCAGGCTGCGCGTGTCTACACGACAGGCGGGCTCACACTCTGCCCCTGCCCTTCCCTTCAAACGCCGCTGCTTTCCTCGCAGGTCATCAAGAAGGAAACTGGATTTTGGAGAGACTTTGGATTCGGGATGACATGCCAGTATCGGTCCGACTTCATCAACATAGGTGAGCAGAGCTGCATCTCTACTGCCCCCTGGAGGCCACTGGCCACGCAGGCCCTGAGAGAATCAGATCTCTGAGGGGTGTGGTGGTAAAGCTGGTGCCCTTTCCTTAAAAATGCTGTTTCTCACGTCACAGACTCAGGACTGGGCCAAGGAGGGACTTGGGAGGGGCTGGCCTGTGCCCCTGCAGTCTCCAGCCCTCCTCCGGTCACCCTTGCGGCAGGGCCTCCTCCCAGACTAGACAGCTTCTGGCGTGTACCCGAGTGCGAATGTGGAGTGTCCGGGCCTCCAATGAGGTGTTGGGGAGCACCCACCCCAAAAGACCCGCATTTCTCTCTGCCAGCCCTTCATAATTCCAGGTGTCACTTCAAGCCCTGACCAGGTATGGAGGTGCTGTCTACACACACACACACATACGTGTGCACATGCATATGCAGACATGCACACACATGCTTGTGAACACATACATATACATGAACACATATAAACACACGTCATCATGCATATGACTGCACCTACGGGCTTCCAGAGCATAGACAGGACAGGCAGAAGGAGGAGACCTCGGTTCTCAGAGGCAAGGGATGCCCCAGCCAGGCCTCACTGCATGGGAGGAGCTTAGCTGAATGAAAACAGGGGCCCCTGCCCCTTGGAAGTACCTGTCCTCGCTTGGAGGGGCTTACTCATGTACCTCTGGGGGGCAGAACTGTGGGTTGTACATTCCTTAGGAAGGAACGGACAGGCCAGAAACCTGGCCCTCGGGCTCAGGGCTCAGCCTGGGGGTGCTGCTGGGGGGATGTGGAGCTTGGCCCCCAGCCTCCAGGAGTGACGATTCTGTACCCCACTGAGGCCAAATGCTTCTCCTTTAAGAGCAGGGAGGGAGCAGCCTTAGGTTTGCTTTGCTCAGGGATGACGTGGGCTCCAGGCTTGGGAGAACCCTCAGAGGGGTCACCAGGTTCCAAAACAGCCACTTGAAGTCATGTTCCATGAGAAACAGTGGAGCAACCAGGACGCCCGGACACTGGGCGCTGGGTGGTGGGTGCTCCGGGGACACTGGGCAGCTTGCCCCGGGCATCCTTTCACTTCTCTCGGGGACACATTCCTGAACGACTGTGTGCAGATCAAATGGCCAAAGCAGACATTTCAAAAGCGTTCTGAATATTTATGTTTCGTGAAACTCCGCTTCCTCCTCCTTTGTCCAGGGAAAGGTTACTGTGTGGTGCCGTGCAGAATGAGCAGGCATGCATCTGCAGCATCCTGCATTCTCCCAGAGGCCGTGTACCTGTGCTTGGGAGGAGTGGCGTGGCCTGCCAGGGGTGTTCCTCCTCGGCAGGCCATGGCCAGGACCCCAGAACCGTTGTCGGGGTTATCTGCACAGCCTTGCACCTTTGTGCTGTGTCTTTCTCATGCACGTTGTATTTAATGAGTGTTCACGATAGTGATGACAGTCCTACGTCCGGCCCTGCCCATGTGACCATCTTACTTGGTTACGGTGCCTACTTCATTTAATGATGACAGAAATGAAATTCAAGAGCGGTCAGTGGCAACAGGATATGATCCTGGACCTTTCTTTCCCGGCCGGCCACCAAGGAGTCACAGTCACAATGACTCACACACAGCTGGGGGCCGGGGGCTTGTAGCACCCCCCACCCCCAGCCGTAGCTGAGCTCCCCTGACAGCTGCGACAGCCGGATCAGGCCAGGCAGTGCAGTGTGAGGGGTGCAGGGAATACAGGCTGCCCGCCCAAGAAAAGACGTTGCGAGTCACCCTCCCTCCCACCCCGTGTCTCATGAGAGCTGAATGAACCTCCTAGGTGAGACAGAGAAGAGCATTGACAGCCAGAGGTCCCCACTGCCCATGTCTGCTGGGACCCGGGGAACCGCAGGGCAGGAAAGGCCGTCTCCAGCATGGGGCCGGTGGGCCATTTCTGACTTCGTGGAAGATCTGCCTGTGTGAAAAGGCGGTCCTTTGGGCAGAACCTCAGAACCCACTGTGAGGCCCTTTAAAGTGCCTGCTTTCAAAGACCATTGCAGTGTTGCAGGACTCATGAATCCGTGCAAGGAAGATTGCTTTTGTGGGGTGTAACTGTCCCCCACAGAGGCCCCCTGTCACTCCTTCAGTCTTAGTTTGCAGAGGCAGAGGGAGGGCACGCCCGAACAGAAAAGGAGGGTTTGCACCCACAGGGTCACGTTAGAACGGGGTGCTGCTGAGGCTCCTCATCGGCAGCCGGGCTGCTCCTTACACTGCAGGTGCTTCTCTAAAGCAGGCGGAGGCTGAGGGTTCTGTTAAGGGCTTGTCCTCTCCAGAATTTGGTGCTTCCAGGGTGACTGTCTCTCTCTGGGATTTCTGGGGCCTCAGACCTGGGTGGTCACTCGAGTAGCACGAACACTGAGACACACAACAAGCATCTCCCTATATACCTCTTTTTAAAAAGTTCATTTATCTCATGACAGAGAGAGACAGAGAGAAAGAGTGAGAGTGATCTAGCACCCCGACAGGGTCCTGACACCATAGCCCTCACCCTCAGCCGGTCTCAGAGCCTGGGCACGTGGGCACCTGGCAGACACAGGGAGGTCTCTGGACTTGAACCAGTGCAGGTTTTAGCAGTGAGCCACCGCCCAGCCCCTGCCCTACATGCCTTTTCACAAAGAGTTCTGCGCTCCTGCCACTCAGGGAAGCACACTGGAGGGGCTTTACAGAGTGTGCTGAGAGGTGTGATGAAGGTCTGAGTTTATCTTACAAACCCCCGAGATGCCTCACAGTTCTCTCGTAGCTCACACTTGCATGACGCGTTCGAAGACGCCGCGTCCAGGTCCGGAGCAGCGCAGCGGGGCTCACTGTTGTTCTCTTCCACAGGCGGGTTCGACCTGGACATCAAGGGCTGGGGCGGGGAGGACGTGCACCTCTACCGCAAGTACCTGCACAGCAACCTGGTCGTGGTGCGCACGCCCGTGCGCGGGCTCTTCCACCTGTGGCACGAGAAGCACTGCCTGGACGAGCTGGCGCCCGAGCAGTACAGGATGTGCATGCAGTCCAAGGCCATGAACGAGGCGTCCCACGGGCAGCTGGGGATGCTCGTCTTCCGGCACGAGATCGAGGCACACCTCCGCAGACAGAGACAGAAGACGAGCAGCAGGAAAACATGAACCGTCCCGGGGCGGAGTGGGGAAACATTTGCTTTTTCTTTTCCTTTTGCCATGAAGGAATGAGTGGCTGGATCAAGGAAAAGACTTCGATAAAGCTCAAAAGAAAAAAAAAAAAGAACTTGATTGCCGAGTTAAAGATGCGAGGAGAGTTTGCCACGTCTCTGTTTGGGAAAGGGAAATCTGTGCTTGGTCTGCAGAAGCAGCCCCGGTGCACGCTGGGAGCGTGTGCACAGGCAGCGTGATGGGGAGAGGATAAAGCTAACGTGTGGAGGCGTTGGTGTGCACGGCAGATGAGATCTGTTGTTTTCTTTGCTCACAGAAATGTTCCTGAATTAAGGCCAGTGTGGCAGGAGTTCATGAGAATGAAAGGCAAGCTGATTTCTCCCCGTCTTCGTAATTGGAACACTCCAGTTTCCAGGAAGGCTAAGCACTCAGGCAGGAAGGAGGCCGTGGGCAGGCGAGGTTGCACTCCTCATGCTCTTCACGCGTGCGCGTGAACCACATGTCCCAGGACAGAAACCATCAACGCATAGATATCTTGTCCTTTTTGCCCAAGATTAACCAAAAGTGATCTGCTTTTTCTTTTCTTTTTTTTAATTTTGCTCTTGGACACATCAGCTCACCAGAGAGAGACACAGAGAGAGGGAAAGTGAGAAATTACCGTCTAGGGGAGATGGCCATGCTGCAGTTCCTTCTCCTCCATTCTCCTGGGATCTTGGGCAGGCACACACATACACCCACCCTGATTTTCAGCCTGCCGGGTCCGGGACTCAGACCTCATGCCGGCCACGTAGGACCCAGCGCCTTAACCCCCACGCCACCTGCCGGCCCCTGCTCTTCATGCTTGTCATTTTGGCCATCTGCATTTGTTTATTTCATTTGAAAACACACTTTTTTTTTCTTTTTTTTTTGCTTTTGAGTTATATTCTGCTCATTTAATTACCCATTTGCAAGCCTGACAAGGAGAACACAGGGAACATACAGTTTATATTTTTTAAGAAGATACTTCTAGACGCATAATGAACTTTTAGGGCAGAGCGTGGACTTGATCCTGTACCCAAGGGCCTGCCAAGACCTGAGAGGCTGAGTGTCAGGCACAGGGAGGCACAGTTTGGGGTTTCCAATAGAGACGAACAAATACCATACCCGTAAAGTGTTTCCGAAGAAGAGCAGCTGAACACTGGAGGAAAAGGAAAAGACTCTTCTCACCTTAACGGAAAAGGCAGCTCCTTCAGACGGGTGATAGCTCCGCGTATTCAAAAGGCAGAAAACATGTTTTTCTCCTCCAGAGAACTGGGCACCGGTTTCTTACCTATTTAAATAAACCAAAGTATACTTTCTGTGTGAACCAAATGATCTCTTTTCAAAGCAGGGTGCTCTTCCTGACTCCTGGCTTCCATAAAAATAAGTGCAGAAAAGCGTATTTTGTGAGAGCCATCCATCTGCCAGAGTCTAGCGGGCTGGGAGATTTTGCTACATGTGTACCCACCCCGGTTAGGTGGATGTAACTTAATTATTTTAACAAGTAAGCAGTTCTACTTAATCACCAAGATGCTTCTGAAGATTGCATTTTATTACAGGTTCAAACTATTTTTAAAAAATAAATACAGTGACCATCGAGTGGTTTTTACATTCATGTGAAAACTATTTATTTATTAGCCAACAGCAGATGCACGAGCTAATTATCTCTGATTCCTTGCCTTTTGTTTGCCCACAGTAAACTCACTGTTTAAAAGCTTTAAGAACATTCAAGCTGTTGGTGTTAAAAAATAATAATAATAATTGATATGTACTGGTCAGTCATTCATACAGTTTAATTGAAACACAGGACAAGAGCGGAAGGTGGCAGTGCACAGCTAATCAAGTGTCACTTGTGCACATGACCTCGTCTGAGAGTAAGAACGCCATGTCTCAGGTCAGCTGGTGGCTGGCGGTGAGGGCGGCTGGATCCCACACGGCCAACTGCGTAGATGAGTCCTGCACCTAGAGGCTTGAGAAACCCCCAGGGTGCACGTGCGTGCTTGTCTAAGGTCTTGAGAGGAGAATGGAGAAGGGATTACGGTGTAACCATCTCTCCTGGGGGGTGATTTCTCACTCCCCCACCCATCTCTCTAGTGGGTGCACATGTCTATAGCAAAAACTTAAAAAAAAAAAAAAAAACGAAGAAAGAATGCCATGCCATGTGTTCAGTATTCGGAGCGCTTTGTGCATAGACCAAGGTTTCTCCATTGGCACTACTGACACAGGGGCTGTCACTCTGCTGCAGCGGCCGCCATGTGCGTGACAGGGTCTGTAACAGGACAGAGAGAAAGAGTGAGAGTGATCTAGCACCCCGACAGGGTCCTGACACCATAGCCCTCACCCTCAGCCGGTCTCAGAGCCTGGGCACGTGGGCACCTGGCAGACACAGGGAGGTCTCTGGACTTGAACCAGTGCAGGTTTTAGCAGTGAGCCACCGCCCAGCCCCTGCCCTACATGCCTTTTCACAAAGAGTTCTGCGCTCCTGCCACTCAGGGAAGCACACTGGAGGGGCTTTACAGAGTGTGCTGAGAGGTGTGATGAAGGTCTGAGTTTATCTTACAAACCCCCGAGATGCCTCACAGTTCTCTCGTAGCTCACACTTGCATGACGCGTTCGAAGACGCCGCGTCCAGGTCCGGAGCAGCGCAGCGGGGCTCACTGTTGTTCTCTTCCACAGGCGGGTTCGACCTGGACATCAAGGGCTGGGGCGGGGAGGACGTGCACCTCTACCGCAAGTACCTGCACAGCAACCTGGTCGTGGTGCGCACGCCCGTGCGCGGGCTCTTCCACCTGTGGCACGAGAAGCACTGCCTGGACGAGCTGGCGCCCGAGCAGTACAGGATGTGCATGCAGTCCAAGGCCATGAACGAGGCGTCCCACGGGCAGCTGGGGATGCTCGTCTTCCGGCACGAGATCGAGGCACACCTCCGCAGACAGAGACAGAAGACGAGCAGCAGGAAAACATGAACCGTCCCGGGGCGGAGTGGGGAAACATTTGCTTTTTCTTTTCCTTTTGCCATGAAGGAATGAGTGGCTGGATCAAGGAAAAGACTTCGATAAAGCTCAAAAGAAAAAAAAAAAAGAACTTGATTGCCGAGTTAAAGATGCGAGGAGAGTTTGCCACGTCTCTGTTTGGGAAAGGGAAATCTGTGCTTGGTCTGCAGAAGCAGCCCCGGTGCACGCTGGGAGCGTGTGCACAGGCAGCGTGATGGGGAGAGGATAAAGCTAACGTGTGGAGGCGTTGGTGTGCACGGCAGATGAGATCTGTTGTTTTCTTTGCTCACAGAAATGTTCCTGAATTAAGGCCAGTGTGGCAGGAGTTCATGAGAATGAAAGGCAAGCTGATTTCTCCCCGTCTTCGTAATTGGAACACTCCAGTTTCCAGGAAGGCTAAGCACTCAGGCAGGAAGGAGGCCGTGGGCAGGCGAGGTTGCACTCCTCATGCTCTTCACGCGTGCGCGTGAACCACATGTCCCAGGACAGAAACCATCAACGCATAGATATCTTGTCCTTTTTGCCCAAGATTAACCAAAAGTGATCTGCTTTTTCTTTTCTTTTTTTTAATTTTGCTCTTGGACACATCAGCTCACCAGAGAGAGACACAGAGAGAGGGAAAGTGAGAAATTACCGTCTAGGGGAGATGGCCATGCTGCAGTTCCTTCTCCTCCATTCTCCTGGGATCTTGGGCAGGCACACACATACACCCACCCTGATTTTCAGCCTGCCGGGTCCGGGACTCAGACCTCATGCCGGCCACGTAGGACCCAGCGCCTTAACCCCCACGCCACCTGCCGGCCCCTGCTCTTCATGCTTGTCATTTTGGCCATCTGCATTTGTTTATTTCATTTGAAAACACACTTTTTTTTTTCTTTTTTTTTGCTTTTGAGTTATATTCTGCTCATTTAATTACCCATTTGCAAGCCTGACAAGGAGAACACAGGGAACATACAGTTTATATTTTTTAAGAAGATACTTCTAGACGCATAATGAACTTTTAGGGCAGAGCGTGGACTTGATCCTGTACCCAAGGGCCTGCCAAGACCTGAGAGGCTGAGTGTCAGGCACAGGGAGGCACAGTTTGGGGTTTCCAATAGAGACGAACAAATACCATACCCGTAAAGTGTTTCCGAAGAAGAGCAGCTGAACACTGGAGGAAAAGGAAAAGACTCTTCTCACCTTAACGGAAAAGGCAGCTCCTTCAGACGGGTGATAGCTCCGCGTATTCAAAAGGCAGAAAACATGTTTTTCTCCTCCAGAGAACTGGGCACCGGTTTCTTACCTATTTAAATAAACCAAAGTATACTTTCTGTGTGAACCAAATGATCTCTTTTCAAAGCAGGGTGCTCTTCCTGGCTCCTGGCTTCCATAAAAATAAGTGCAGAAAAGCGTATTTTGTGAGAGCCATCCATCTGCCAGAGTCTAGCGGGCTGGGAGATTTTGCTACATGTGTACCCACCCCGGTTAGGTGGATGTAACTTAATTATTTTAACAAGTAAGCAGTTCTACTTAATCACCAAGATGCTTCTGAAGATTGCATTTTATTACAGGTTCAAACTATTTTTTAAAAATAAATACAGTGACCATCGAGTGGTTTTTACATTCATGTGAAAACTATTTATTTATTAGCCAACAGCAGATGCACGAGCTAATTATCTCTGATTCCTTGCCTTTTGTTTGCCCACAGTAAACTCACTGTTTAAAAGCTTTAAGAACATTCAAGCTGTTGGTGTTAAAAAATAATAATAATAATTGATATTTACTGGTCAGTCATTCATACAGTTTAATTGAAACACAGGACGAGAGCGGAAGGTGGCAGTGCACAGCTAATCAAGTGTCACTTGTGCACATGACCTCGTCTGAGAGTAAGAACGCCATGTCTCAGGTCAGCTGGTGGCTGGCGGTGAGGGCGGCTGGATCCCACACGGCCAACTGCGTAGATGAGTCCTGCACCTAGAGGCTTGAGAAACCCCCAGGGTGCACGTGCGTGCTTGTCTAAGGTCTTGAGAGGAGAATGGAGAAGGGATTACGGTGTAACCATCTCTCCTGGGGGGTGATTTCTCACTCCCCCACCCATCTCTCTAGTACGGCCACATGGCTATATCACAAACTTAAAAAAAAAAACCGAAGAAAGAATGCCATGCCATGTGTTCAGTATTCGGAGCGCTTTGTGCATAGACCAAGGTTTCTCCATTGGCACTACTGACACAGGGGCTGTCACTCTGCTGCAGCGGCCGCCATGTGCGTGACAGGTCGTGTAACAGCATCCCTGGCCTCCATGTAAGTGCCGGAGCATCTCCTGCCCGATTTCAGTGGTCAGAGTCACGGCCAGAGGGTCACTGTCGAATGTCACCTTGGAGGAAATGGCCGTGGGCGGAAATCTCTGGACTGGGGCAGAGAGAGCCATAGTGAAGAACCTGGGCCTTTATACATGTTGTCCTTCAAAGGAGAGTTTATGCATCTCACAGGAATTGCATCCCCAATGCAGTCTCGTGCCAGCCTTCCCAGCCAGCTGGGATCACCGGCCATACAGGTTCCCCTGGGAAGTGGGCCTTGATCCTCCATATGGCTCCGGCATCATGGAGCTACTGCTGCTCCACCATGGCTGTCCCATGTGTCTGTTTTAATTAGAGGAAACTGAGATGGTTTCTAAAGC